AAGGTCAGAAACTTCACGACCCATCATTAAGCGCATCATGAGTAGAGTTCATATATCGGGTGTAAGGAAGCAGTTCAAAGCTGGTAGTGAATCAGCTTTCTATGAACTAGTGGAACATACCCTACAGAAGGATAATGATTTCAGGAGGAAAGTGACTGTCATACATGAGTTGCGTGAGATGACTAGTAAGGTGCTTCATTATTATAGAGGAGATTCCCTGGATGAACTTCCTGGACTTGTTGATTTCACTGTGCTACTAAATCTCACCCCCAGGCAGAAGCATGAGACTGAGAAACTGAAGAAGTTCGCAAGGAAGTTCAAGCAAAGTTCTGTTGGGAGTGCTGTTTATCTGCACCCAAAATTGTACTCCTTCTCTTGGAAACCCACTGATCCAGATGATAAAGTGGATGAGCTCTTGGACAAAATGGATGTGAAAGATGGAGTCAAGGCAAGATTCTTCCTTAATCTACTGAACTTATGTGAGTCAGCTGGTGAGAAACTTTTGGTGTTCAGTCAGTACCTCCTACCATTGAAATTTTTGGAGAGATTAGTAGCCAAAGTGAAGGGTTGGAGTCCTGGGAGAGAAATGTTTATGATCTCAGGTGAGTCAAGCTCCGAGCAACGGGAATGGTCCATGGATCAATTTAACAATTCCTCTACTGCTAAGGTCTTCTTTGGCTCAATTAAGGCATGTGGAGAGGGTATATCTCTGGTAGGGGCATCTCGAGTCATACTTTTGGATGTCCATCTTAATCCCTCAGTGAGCCGGCAAGCAATTGGCCGTGCATTTAGACCAGGTCAAAAGAAGAAAGTGTTTGTGTATAGATTGGTAGCTGCTAGTTCCCCTGAAGAGGAAGATCATAGCACTTGCTTCCAGAAAGAACTAATTGCCAAAATGTGGTTTGACTGGAATGAGTATTGTGGTTATCGGGATTTTGGAGTGGAGACCATTGATGTGAATGAATGTGGTGATCTCTTCCTCGAAAGTCCAGTGTTCAGGGAAGATATAAAGGTTCTTTACAAAAGGTTTGTACTCTTGTACATCTTCTTGTCATCTTTGAGTTGCAACTTGCAAGACCTAAATCTTTCTGTTAGCATGTCCTAACTATTTATTTCTATTAT